CCCCCTCAACAATCAGATATCTAATTTTGGCAAAAATGTTGAAGTCATTGATTTATAGGGAAGCTATGACAGAATCTGAAGAAACTTTAGCAACTTGAAATATCCTCCTACATATGTGCTACTACATAAATAGGTTAAATGTTTGTATCACAATGTCACCCAATCAATAACTTGAAATATCCTCCTACATATGTGCTACTAAAGAAACAGGGTAAATGTTTGTATCACAATGTCACCCAATCAATAACAAAGGTAGAGATAAACAAGGAGACTGTAGAACAAAGTAATTCCATGAATACAGGATTATCACAAACAAACACAACACCAACACACATTAAACATACAGCTACAGTGGCAATAATGTTGCCAAGTATCAGTACCACAAAAGCTATAGGTTACATAAACAGTTGCTATGGAAACTGGTGCTTGTAGTGATGGTGCTCGTGTGGGAGGGGTAGATGGGGGGTAGTAGTCGGGTTAAGGTTGTGGCAAGTGCAGTGCTTTTTAAATATGTTAGTTTTATCACAAAAATTATTATATAAATGATTAAGATATTATTTTCAGGGAAGATCAATAAAATATAATTGTAATATATTTTACATTTAAATTATTGAACAAAAATATGTAAGTTGTAAACAGGAAAAGTTCATTACAATAGACATCATTTTTTAAATTTTAGATAAAAAAAAAGATTGTTGGGCCATATTCTGTACACACCTTCCAAACCTCCTCACCTGTAAATAGTGTTGTGTGATGGGCAGAACATTAGGTATCACTTCGGACTGAGGTGCATGCACAGAAAACACACGGGTGTGGGCACACAGATGGACAAGGGTGGATGGGAGGATGGGGGAGAGAAGGTTGACAGACAGATGGATGAACAGACGGATGGATAGATAGACAAGGGACTGGTGGGTGGTCAGGGAATCCATATTTGAATGGATTGAAAGGTTGGAAGGGATGGATCGACGGATGGACGAGGACTGAAAGCTTGGAAAGCCGGATGGAAGAACAGATGGACAAAGGATGGATTGACGGATGGACGAGGATTGAAAGGTTGGACGGAGAGGTGGACAGACAGTTTGACCGATGGACGGACAGGTGGACAGACAGTTTGACCGATGGACGGACAGGTGGAAAGTTGTAGACTGATGGACGGACAGGTGGACAGACAGTTTTGACGATGGACGGACAGGTGGACAGACAGTTTGACCGATGGACGGACAGGTGGACAGACAGTTTGACCGATGGACGGACAGGTGGACAGACAGTTTGACCGATGGACGGACAGGTGGACAGACAGTTTGACCGATGGACGGACAGGTGGACAGACAGTTTGACCGATGGACGGACAGGTGGAAAGTTGTAGACTGATGGACGGACAGGTGGACAGACAGTTTGACCGATGGACGGACAGGTGGAAAGTTGTAGACTGATGGACGGACAGGTGGACAGACAGTTTGACTGATGGACGGACAGGTGGACAGACAGTTTGGCCGATGGACGGACAGGTGGACAGACAGTTTGACCGATGGACGGACAGGTGGAAAGTTGTAGACTGATGGACGGACAGGTGGACAGACAGTTTTGACGATGGACGGACAGGTGGACAGACAGTTTGACCGATGGACGGACAGGTGGAAAGTTGTAGACTGATGGACGGACAGGTGGACAGACAGTTTTGACGATGGACGGACAGGTGGACAGACAGTTTGACCGATGGACGGACAGGTGGAAAGTTGTAGACTGATGGACGGACAGGTGGACAGACAGTTTTGACGATGGACGGACAGGTGGACAGACAGTTTGACTGATGGACGGACAGGTGGACAGACAGTTTGACCGATGGACGGACAGGTGGACAGACAGTTTGACCGATGGACGGACAGGTGGACAGACAGTTTGACCGATGGACGGACAGGTGGACAGACAGTTTGACCGATGGACGGACAGGTGGAAAGTTGTAGACTGATGGACGGACAGGTGGACAGACAGTTTGGCCGATGGACGGACAGGTGGACAGACAGTTTGACCGATGGACGGACAGGTGGAAAGTTGTAGACTGATGGACGGACAGGTGGACAGACAGTTTGACCGATGGACGGAAACGTGTAGGACTGTGACAGACAGGTGTACAGAGAAATGGCCTCATACCTTCACCCTTCTGTTTGGGTCTAGACTCATTAACTTCTGGGGCCTCTGTGAGAGAGAGTACATAGCATCCAGTGGAAGAAGCAACATTCCCCCTCAGTGCCCCGGCAAGCAGGCAGGGAGAGAGGCACGCAACAAAGCTTCAACGGATTTACCAACCAATTAGAAATAGAACTGGTTCCAAAACTGTTTTAAATTTCTTCACAACAATTTGAACCAATCGTCTGCAAATACAGATACTCTCCAAACCAAATAAGAAATGGAACTTTTCACTGTGTGTTATGCTGCATGAAACAATCTTAACACCATATCAAGATCATAAGTCCAATTTCTGAGAATATGCCAATTTTGATGTAACCGTTTTTTACAGAGAGTTATTTCCGATTCTGTGGATTGTGGTAACGCCCCGGAGGCTTGTGTAACCTGCCCCTCCCAGTTGTCATGCGTACATTCCTGAGTAGTCCATTCAATAGTTAGAGCCACATGTTACATTATCATAAAACATTTACAGGTTAATATCTATAAAATTTTACTAAAATGGTGATCTTTTCAATATTTCCGTAGGGGCGGTCGGGTAGCCTAGTGGTTAAAGCGTTTGTTGGTCATGCCGAAGACCCGGGTTCAATTCCGGTCATGGGTACAATGTGTGAAGCCCATTTCTGTTGACCCCCGCCATGATATTGCTGGAATATTGCTAAAAGCGGCGTAAAATCATACTCACTCACTCAATATATCCATAACAGTGAAACCCTGTTTTTACAGAACCCTCTGGAGGATTAATGTCAGGAATATCGACACACAGAGGGGTATTATTCTACACCCATGATTCGTTAATACAGTGAGTGAGTGAGTGAGTATGGTTTTACGCCGCTTTTAGCAATATTCCAGCAATATCACGGCGGGGGACACCAGAAATGGGCTTCACACATTGTACCCATGTCAAGAATCGAACCCTGGTCTTCGGCGTGACGTCGGTATTACAGAAAACTGTTAATCAGGGTTCCTCTGAACAATGGTCAGAAACTTCATTTAATTCCCGGACAAACTTCTTTACCAAAAAGCTCAATTTGAGGGTATAAAATATTGAAAAAATCACCCTGTTAATATTGAACATTGAACACAAGAAAAAAGTCCAGATTGGACATTAGTTCAATTCTTAAATATTATTCAAATATTTAAAATGTTCATAAATGATTAAAGTCACTAATTAAAGCATAAAGCAAACTTATGAGAACTAAGCAGTCTGATAGCTTCATAATGAATCTGTGTATTGCACTATTGTCATGTAATCATACTGGCTTCACATGCAATCATACTGGCTTCACATGCAATCATACCGGCTTCACATGCAATCATACTGGCTTCACATGCATATATGGGATCTCTCCAGTTCAAAACCCAGATCAACAACATTCCTTGTTTAACAGAATAACCCGGTTTTTCAACAGCAAATTTCTCCCCAAAATAGCCTTTTTCACCCTGCAATTACATGGCTTGTAATCAAGACGTCATTTCGAAATTAGCTTTAACTTGTCTTTTCTTTGTGGTAGACATCTAGTCAACTGACACCACATCAGCCTTGTCTGGGCAGATTGGTCGCGACACATATTATAACGAGGAAAGACATTGGCCTCAAATAGATGAAATTATGTTTCTACATGCCTCTTTTCATTAACTGCAAAAACAGCTGTATCAACAATCTACCCTCGTGTCTAATCAGAAAAATGCCCTGAAAACAAATACCAGGTATTCCATATGTACAATTCAGGAAAACAGGCCCAATTACATTATTTTTTCACAATTGAGTTTTTGCAGGACTGACAGCGCCAACCGCCTCCTCCCCTAAAAACCTGAATGCTGTTTATTTTTTCTCACTGCTCAACCTTCGTTATATGGCTGAAATAACGCTGATGCGACATTAAATTTTAACTCACTTACTCACTGAATACTGAATACTACTTTAATCACAAATCTCAAAATCATTAAAAAAAGCGTGCGATTTGAAGTTAAATTTCTGAGGGAAAAAAATAAGAAAAAAAAATTCATAAAAAAAACCTTTTCTGTACACCATTATTTTTTAAAAATGTTGAATCTGTACCAAATATCTTTTTATTGGCGTCCCAAGTACCACACTGCTGAGTCCCCCAAACCCTCTAAATAGACCCCGAATTCTAGAAAGAAAATATGCAAACATGGAAGTTGAACACAGTCCTGAGGCTGCCACCCCCCTTTCTAGAATTCAGGGTCTATTTTGGGGTTTGGCAGCCTCAGGACTGTGTTCAAATTCCATGTTTGCATATTTTCTTGAACAACACTCCTCTCCCAGGTGACCTACCCATACACAGCCTGACCTCTCATTCTGCTGGGGAATACAGGTCGTGCATATACCCACCACCTTGAGATCATGCACAGAAGCAATATACAAGTATAATATGTGCAGCATGCAATAAACCAGCAATGCAACGTAATGCATGTCAGATTGGCTACGTTAATCAACAGCTAACGTTCGCTTTATGGCGCACCTCGATGGCAGACTTGACAGACAGATGTTAGAATTTTCCCAAATGTGATTTATCAGGATCCCTTTTTTTGTAAGCTTATTTTTCTGATATTTTTCTTCAGCCGTCAATTGGAGGCACCAAGTATACCCTGGCCGTGTCACGATGTTTCTCATAATTGCCCTATTATAGCTTCGGAATTTCCTGTGGAGGGTCATGTTTACAAGCAGTGATATAACAGTCCGTATCACTACAGAACATTACGCTATGCCAACATGTTGCGTTCAAGTCTGCCATGGTATAACTGTGTATATGTCCCAAGACTGAAGCTGGGACCACACTGCGACTCACTGTAGCAGGAGCGGCCGTCGACGCCCAACTGGTAGCCAGGGGTGCAGGTACAGGCGAAGGAACCCTTGGTGTTGACGCACGCTTGGGAACACCCGCCATTGCTGATCTCACACTCGTTGATATCTAAATAATACACGGATATCAGTTGTTGATATCTTGATAATACATGGATATCAGTTGTTGATATCTAAAAAATACATGGGTATCAGTTGTTGATATACATGTAAAATGAAATACATGGATATCAGTTGTTGATATCTTAATAATACATGGATATCAGTTGTTGATATCTAAAATATACATGGGTATCAGTTGTTAATATACATGTATAATGAAATACATGGATATCAGTTGTTGATATCTAAATACTACATGGATATCAGTTGTTGATATCTAAATAATACATGGATATCAGTTGTTGATATCTAAAAAATACATGGGTATCAGTTGTGGATATACATGTAAAATGAAATACATGGATATCAGTTGTTGATATCTTAATAATACATGGATATCAGTTGTTGATATCTAAAATATACATGGGTATCAGTTGTTGATATACATGTATAATGAAATACATGGATATCAGTTGTTGATATCTAAATACTACATGGATATCAGTTGTTGATATCTAAATAATACATGGATATCAGTTGTTGATATCTAAATACTACATGGATAACAGTTGTTGATATCTAAATAATACATGGATATCAGTTGTTGATATCTAAATAATACATGGATAACAGTTGTTGATATCTAAATAATACATGGATATCAGTTGTTGATATCTAAATAATACATGGATATCAGTTGTTGATATCTAAATAATACATGGATAACAGTTGTTGATATCTAAATAATACATGGATATCAGTTGTTGATATCCAAATAATACATGGAAATCAGTCACTTATCCTAATAACTACCCCACAAATACCGAAAATGTTAATAAAACACCTGCTGGTATAATAACAGTAGCATATATGAACACATTACATTTCCTGTTTGATTCTGAAATAGGAGATACATGGCTGGTCACATGACTGGTCACCTGACTGGTCACATGACATGAGACTTACCGATACACGACCGAGAGTCTGAGGCGATCCTGAAGCCAGCGAAACACTGGCAGGTTGCTCTACCGCTGGACGAGACGCACTTGTGTTCACACCCACCGTTACGTCGGCGACATGGGTTCTCCTCTGAAAACACATTAGACATACAGGTGAGACCGCTGGTCAGACTAACAGCTTAGACCGATGGTCAGACAAACAGGTTAGGCTGCTGGTCAGGCTTACTGGTGAGACCACTGCTCAGACAAATTGTTTAGACATTTACATTTATTGTATCTCAGTTATCACTGAACAATAATATGAATTGACCTAGCCCTCATTCAAAGAAATATTTTTCAATGCTAAATCTGGCTCTGGCTCTTGTTCTGGCTCTGGACGGGGCGGTCGGGTAGCCTAGTGGTTAAAGAGTTCACTCGTCACCCCGAAAAGACCCGGGTTCGATTTCCGACATGGGTACAATGTGTGAAGACTATTTTTGGTGTCCCCCACCGTGATATAGCTGGAATATTGCTAAAAAATCGGGGTAAAACCATACTCACTCACTCACTCACTCACTCTGGTTCTGGACACTTTTTATTTTGTCTTTTCGATGAAACCTTTCTAGCAATGCCATGTGTGATTTTCAAAGGTTTTGGAGAGCGTCATCTTGGTTAAATGAGGAATAGAGGTTGGAGCGGTCAGGAATTGGAAATGAAAAATATAATTATAATTCAATATATACCAACCAATTTTTTATTATTTTTATTTTATTTCATTTTGATGAGAAACAATCTCAAAATAATGAAATATTTAAATGTAATCAAATACATGATTATAAGACATTTATTTGATCAGGGAGTAGTGTTGATACAATATTAATATTAGTGATCAAATTAAAGTTGTCCTTGGGTTGTGTAGTCCTTTCATCCCTCATTTTGGGCGGTCGGGTAGCCTAGTGGTTAAAGCGTTCGCTCGTCACGCCGAAGACCCGGGTTCGATTCTCGACATGGGTACAATGTGTGAAGCCCATTTCTGGTGTCCCCCGCCGTGATATTGCTGGAATATTGCTAAAAGCGGCGTAAAACCCAACTCACTCACTCATCCCTCATTACTGACATTGCATACAGCGACATTTTGTTAATATCTCAAATATCATCACCTAAAATTATTATCCAATGTGTTTTGATATAAGAAACATGGTATTACTGAGGTGTAGGTTTGATAGGAGTTATTAAAGAACTATGTGGCACCACTTAGTTTGCTGCTTGACCCCAGTCAAACTGCCAACCTGGCTTCCTTGTAGGAGGTTATCGAGAACACACTGCACTACTCAAATGTTGTTATCAAGATCAATCATTGCCAGGAATACTTCAAGACAAATCTCAGTTTCACATGAAACAGTGTCTAGACCCACACGGGGCATCAAATCAGGACACTAATTATAACTGCTGTTTAAGGGAACCACATAACAGGATATTCCTCAAAAGTTTTGTACTTCAATCAAAGCGGACATTATTTAACATCATGTGAGGGTCACAGACAGCTACAACTAACGATCGGACAGCTACAACAGAGAGTTACAATGGGGAGAGCTACAACTGACGACTACAGTTGGAGAGCTACAACAGAGCTACAATGAGGAGAGCTACAACAGAGCTACAACTGACAGCTACAATAGGAGAGCTACAACTGACAACTACAGTTGGTGAGCTACAACTGACAGCTGCAATGGGAGAGCTACAACAGAGCTACAATAGGGAGAGGTACAACAGAGCTACAACTGATAGCTACAATGGGGAGAGCTACAACAGAGCTACAATAGGGAGAGCTACAACAGAGCTACAACTGACAGCTACAATGGGGAGAGCTAAAAAAGAGCCACAATGGGGAGAGCTACAAGTGACAGTTATAATGGGAAGAGCTTTAACAGAGCTACAATGGGGAGAGCTACAACAGAGCTTCAACTGACAGCTACAATGGGGAGAGCTACAACTGACAGCTACAATGGGGAGAGTTACAACAGAGCTACACCAGAGCTACCATGGAGGAGGGCTACAGCAGAGCTACAACAGAGCTACAATAGTAGAGCTACAATAGGTAGAGCTACAACTGACAGCTACAATGGGGAGAGCTTTAACATAGCTACAATGGGGAGAGCTACAACAGAACTAGCGTGGGGAGAGCTACAACTGACAGCTATAATGGGGAGAACTACAACAGAGCTACCATGGGGAGAGCTACAACAGAGCTACCATAGGGAGAGCAACAACAGAGCTACAACTGACAGCTATAATGGGGAGAGCTACAACAGAGCTACCATGGGGAGAGCTACAACAGAGCTACAACTGACAGCTACAATGGGGAGGCTTCAACAGAGCTACAATAGGGAGAGCTACAACAGAGCTACAACTGACAGCTATAATGGGGAGAGCTACAACAGAGCTACAATAGGGAGAGCTACAACAGAGCTACAACTGACAGCTATAATGGGGAGAGCTACAACAGAGCTACAATAGGGAGAGCTACAACAGAGCTACAACTGACAGCTACAATGGGGAGAGCTAAAAAAGAGCCACAATGGGGAGAGCTACAAGTGACAGTTATAATGGGGAGAGCTTTAACAGAGCTACAATGGGGAGAGCTACAACAGAGCTACAACTGACAGCTACAATGGGGAGAGCTACAACTGACAGCTACAATGGGGAGAGTTACAACAGAGCTACACCAGAGCTACCATGGAGGAGGGCTACAGCAGAGCTACAACAGAGCTACAATAGTAGAGCTACAATAGGTAGAGCTACAACTGACAGCTATAATGGGGAGAACTACAACAGAGCTACCATGGGGAGAGCTACAACAGAGCTACAACAGGGAGAGCAACAACAGAGCTACAACTGACAGCTACAATGGGGAGAACTACAACAGAGCTACCATGGGGAGAGCTACAACAGAGCTACAATAGGGAGAGCAACAACAGAGCTACAACTGACAGCTACAATGGGGAGAACTACAACAGAGCTACCATGGGGAGAGCTACAACAGAGCTACAATAGGGAGAGCAACAACAGAGCTACAACTGACAGCTACAATGGGGAGAACTACAACAGAGCTACCATGGGGAGAGCTACAACAGAGCTACAATAGGGAGAGCAACAACAGAGCTACAACTGACAGCTACAATGGGGAGGCTTCAACAGAGCTACAACTGACAGCAACAAAGGGGATAGCTACAACAGAGCTACAATGGGGAGAGCTACAAACAGAGCTTAAACTGACAGTTATAACAGACAGCTTTACAGCTGTCAATGAGACATTGGTTCGTGATCTAGCCACACTACCTTCACATGTCCTCATATCACGGCCAAGTCGGAAACCTTCGCGACATCGGCAGTGGAAGTGTCCGTTGTAGCCGTCGACGCAGATGTGTTGGCAGCCACCATTGTTTTGTCCACAGCCCGACACAGCTACAATAAATCAAACAGTCGATCAGTTCAGTTATCTCCCTTCCATGACAATCCAACTTTTTCACAAATACAGAAGGAATCCAATAATCCTACATGTAAGATGGGAAATGCTGCAAAGGTTAAATTAATGAAGAAAGAAATCTTACTGCAATCTTTGATATGAAATGAGGAAATATTTCTATTGGACATTGACTAATTAAGTAGTTTTCTTTAAAGCAGTGAGCACAAGCAGGCTTGAAGTCAGTCATAAAAATTGCAATTACTACTTTAAAGCTTCTGCATCAAAGTAATATGGCAAACATAGAGTTAGAGGAGATGCTGAAAGGCAGAGCGTTAATTAAACAATGTTAATACTTGCAATAATTTCATATGGATTTTAAATCAAATATTCTCTTCATTTTCAGAACATATGGGTGAGGAAAAAAGCCTTCAAAATCCAATTACAAAAAACCCCATCGCGAAATGAAATTAGTGCTGGTGTTTTCAAGTTTTTTTGCGGACAAATGTCTTAAAAAATCAACAGGACAAAATATTGGGGTGAAACTGAAAAAGAACATATTTTTCTGGGTGTGCTTGCATAGCATCCAGTGGTAGAGCAGCCCTGTTACCATGGTGACAAGTATACAAGAAGCAAAATGTAACAAACATAACTTACTGTCAAAACATAAACTGCACATTGAGGGGTAAAATGTGCCCAAATAAACAGAGGTTGAAAACATCGGAGGGAAGATGAGGATGACATGACACAAAGGAAAGGGGAAAAAAATAAATAATGCAGCACTTGAGTGCAAATAAAAACACAGACACACTGATCTCTAGCACCATCCTATAACACAGACGCTGGTATCTAGGTCCATGTGTCTACACCTGTAGTACAAAGGTGATAATGTGCAGTGTCGGCTAAAATTGTGATTGTTAAAAGTGATAGAACATGTCACAAAGGCCAAACATTTTTGTTTGATTTACGAGTTGATAGTTAAACAGTTGGTGAGTAGTTCGCAAAATGTAAAACAAAATGCATCATATACGATTTTTTTTATCATCTTAAAGTTTTGGATCAGTAAGGTGATAAAAAAATAATATATAAATATTTTATCATTTGAAAAAAATTCTGTGAAAAAATTTAGTAATATAAATATCCTTGGAATATTTTTATTGTCAAAGTGATATTTACCATCAGCGGTATAAAACAAAAGTAAAGGAAAGATCCGTAAATCAAGCAAAAATTATGGCCTGATTATGATCATGATCATAGCAACCTGAAAACATAAAGTAGGTCAACTTGGTCAAATAATTAGGGAACAAGCATCAATCATGGAGAACACATTCCCTACCTGTGATAACAAATATTATCAACAGGTAAATACTCAGGTGAAACACTATGGTAAAAGGTTCAGGTAAAATGAAATATTTTACTACAGGTGATAAACATTATGAATTGGAGGTAAAAATTACAAAGAGAAAAGAAACATCTTCAAAGGAAACAAAATGTTTCTAATGAACGAAAGTAGATGAGACAGTATAAATTGATTTGTCAGAAACTAAGATAGAAGATTAAACCTGTCTTCATGCAATACCCACACGGAATATTCTTCTATTTATAATAGAAACTTGCATCATGTTGATATGTGAAATACTAGTATCAATTGTCTGGTATACTTGTTTTTCAAAAATGTAATGCAATGGAATTGGTGTCCCTGTCATGTGAGTTGCTTCCCTTAGGTTGGCCAGGATCTGCTGATCGTTGGTTTGAATCCTTGGTTGCTAACACCATACAACAATGTTTTAAGTGTTTCAAAAGTGGTAAATACAAACCAACTTGTTCACTCAGTTTGCAAATATCTTCCATGGGACACTTGGATCACCTAGACTTGCAACAGTGCCCCATCTCAATACAGGACTAGCTGGTCAGGTCCTACATAGAGTTATCATCACATCAACAATTCAGTACCAATTCATGAAATACTGTTTCAACATGTTGCATGGGCAAACTTTTTCATGCATAAACACTAACTCAGTCCTGAAAATCATTCCATGAAAGTGATGATGCTGTAGAGATATACAAAAGACTACAGGGCAATCTCCTACTGTGATGTCAGAAGACTACAAGACAATATCCTACTGTGAGGTAACAACTACAAGACAATCTCCTACTGTGATGTAACAACTACAAGACAATCTCCTACTGTGATGTAACAACTACAAGACAATCTCCGACTGTGATGTAACAACTACAAGACAATCTCCTACTGTGATGTCAGAAGACTACAAGACAATCTCCTACTGTGAGGTAACAACTACAAGACAATCTGCTGCTATGATGTAACAACTACAAGACAATCTCCTACTGTGATGTAAAAACAACAAGACAATCTCCTACTGTGATGTCACAACTACAAGACAATCTCCTACTGTGATGTCAGAAGACTACAAGACAATCTCCTACTGTGATGTAACAACCACAAGACAATCCCCTACTGTGATGTAACAACTACAAGACAATCTCCTACTGTGATGTCAGAAGACTACAAAACAATCTCCTACTGTGATGTCAGAAGACTACAAGACAATCTCCTACTGTGATGTCAGAAGACTTCAAGACAATCTCCTACTGTGATGTAACAATTACAAGACAATCTCCTACTGTGATGTCAGAAGACTACAAGACAATCTCCTACTGTGATGTCAGAAGACTTCAAGACAATCTCCTACTGTGATGTCAGAAGACTACAAGACAATCTCCTACTGTGATGTAACAACTACAAGACAATCTCCTACTGTGATGTAACAACTACAAGACAATCTCCTACTGTGATGTAACAACTACAAGACAATCTCCTACTGTGATGTCAGAAGACTTCAAGACAATCTCCTACTGTGATGTCAGAAGACTACAAGACAATCTCCTACTGTGATGTCAGAAGACTACAAGACAATCTCCTACTGTGATGTAACAAGTACAAGACAATCTGCTGCTGTGATGTCAGAAGACTTCAAGACAATCTCTTACTGTGAAGTCAGAAGACAACAATAGATTGTCTCTACAGTGATAGATTTATATATTAAAAAACTATTTAATCTCAGTGAAAACTGCTCAACATTTTGCAAATGATCTTCTACAGGGCTACTGTATGAAACTACATAAACAGACAATGACATTGCAATCATCAGTTTTAGTACATCTATTGAATAACTAAATGTTGAAAGAAACTGGATTAGAAAAATGATAATGATCGCTGATAGAGATTCACTAGTAGGTAGCCACAGAAACAGGACATTATCATAACACAATATTACATCTAGCTATCTGATCAGTTTGTCTATGTTAACTCGTGGTTCCTACAACGACAATGATGTTTTGTATGCCAAGTCACAACTGATCCTTTTCTCACTTTTAGTTTCCATATTTAGAAACAGACCTGATACAAAATTATTTCCCATATGTTTTTTTTGTGTAGCATGTGAACTCATAATTAATATTTGTTTACATGTGTGCAGGATGTTCAACCTGAACCTCTTGTAACCCTGACCCTGACCCTAATGTAAACTCTGAACTTAGCTCTGAACTGACCCAGATCCTATGCCTAACCCCGAACCCACCCCTGACCCTAACCCTAACCTTGACCCAGACACAAACCCTAATCCTAACCCTAACCCTGACACAGACACTAACCCTGACACAGACACTAACCCTAACCTTGACACAGACACTAACCTTAGGCCTAACCCTAGCCCTGACCCTGACCCTGACCCTGACCCTAGCCCTAACCCTAGCCCTGACACTGACCCTGACCCAGACACAAACCCTAACCCTAACCTTGACCCAGACACAAACCCTAACCCTAGCCCTAACCCTAGCCCTGACACTGACCCTGACCCTGACCCTAACCCAGACACTAACCCTAACCCTAACTCTGACCCATATACTTACCATAACCCTAGCCCTAACCCTAACCCTAACCCAAATTCTGACCCAAATTCTGACCCAGACTCTAACCCTATCCCAGAACCAAACCCAAAAACTAACCCTGAGCCAGATTCTAACCTTTTCACTGACCCTAACCCTACCCGTCCTAACTCTGACCCTGACCAAAATTACCTCATATGCCCAAGTGAAAATAGTTTGTATTCTGCTTGCAAGACTTGCAAATCCTGCACACCAAGCCAATGCCCCATGTGAATGAATTCTGTATATAACAGCATTCGTCTTGTTCTATTTGCCTAAAATTTTATCTTTACACCAAATACCAGAGGTCAGTCTGAGCAAAGCACTCTTATGATGTTAAGCAATTTTAAATCTGACGTTCCAAGTACTGCAACACTCCATTACATCTGTGACTATCTGTTTGAACACTAGTTGTCACTAATGTTTAAAATACACAGATCACTGATACAAAATAGACAGTCAATCTATTGCTTGCATCTTGAGTACCGACAAGATCATTGGTCAATTTGGAGACACTTTAGTGAGTGAGTGAGTATCATGTTTTACGCCGCTGTTAGCAATATTCCAGCAATATCACGGCGCGGGACACGAGAAATGGGCTTCACACATTGTACCCATGTCGGGAAACCAACCCGGTGTAAGGTGCCAAAATCTACCTCCCTTCAGAGTATACCCAGGTAGATTCTGGGAAATCCCAGAGTATACCCCCGAGGTTTGATTCTGGGAAAGGGGGGTAGATTCTGGAAGGCCCCAGAATCTACCCGGGTATACTTTGAAGGGGGGGTATACTTTCAGACTTTACACCGGATCTTCGACCGCCCCTGGAGACACTTTAACAGGTAACAGTAGAAGCAGAAAGCAAGCATTGGGTGTAAACAAACAAACAAATTTGGAACTGAGTCTCAGTGAATTCAATGTTTGAAACACAAGAGCTAAATGAACATGTATCGACATATACAGTGACACGTACGGACAAAGAGACACACTCCATAATCATACAAGTAACACTGGTCTTTGTAAAGGGTTTTAAAACAGAAGATTTATATGTAAAAACTAAATTAATTTTTTCAACAAAACATACATCTAAATAAAACGTAACACAAATCTGAAATGTCTGAAAAGATTCAAGGTATAAGACAGACACACAGACACTTTTGGACATGTACAGACACACAGACATCTGGGTAGACAGCCCAGTATTGCACATAGGGCCACCATATTTGTTTATGTCAAAACTGACACTTTCCAAAGTAGTCTCGAAAATAGTACCGGTATTTCCATAATTTAATTGAGATTAAATGAATGATTAGAAACCTTCCATGCCGTTAATCAATTATGAAAATGTCAACGGAAATGTTATTCACAAAGTACTAAAAAAATCAAGATGACAACAGCTACACATTGTAAGTTAAACATAGTAAGTTGTTAGGAATGCATGATCTGTCAGGCTCATGCACAAAAATGGCTTCCACCATGTGACATGTGGACATGTATTTAGTATCTCACTGAGGGGTGATAAATGGATGCAATATGACATGTATTGCCTACCTGACACCACCTTCAACAATCCTTGTTTATACAACATATATTCCATAAGCATATGCTGCCTTCAAAATAAATTTAATAAATTCCAAATAATATTTTCATCACAACTGGTTTGGAATTTAAAAAGTTTTATTTGCCCTCTGGCTATTCCCAATCATGTTTCATGATTTTGCTTGTAGGAATCTGTAAGGGAACATTTTCAAATAAAACAACTGATAATGATAATCAAGAACATGCATACTGTGGTGTTCCTTAAGTAAATAATATGATACTACATGTATCAATCTATTTCAAAACATTTTTTTTAAAAACCCCAAAGACATACAAAATCAAATGCTGAATGCAACAGAAGACATTTCAATTTGTAGTCCCTGTCATCTGCATTGAGATGCTCCTGGGATGTATTCATACACTGCCAGGAAAATAGTACAACATTTGCTGATTGTTGATATGGTGTTGGGGAAGTATGATATGATTGTTTGCCGATATTCAAATACATTACGGTTCTGACAACATGGACAACTTGACAGAACCAATGTGACTTCAATACGTAGGAACATCTTTGACTAACAGAGACTGCTACAGTCTTACAACACGATCTACAGACGTGAGTATCTATAGGTGTTCCCATCCTCTACAGAGATCTAGATAGACAGACGAGTGGTCTGTGCCAAGTTATGGATCGACATGTTGAAGTGCGAGACAAGGGGATACATCAAATGCGAAGAGCCAGATCAAACTTAATCTTGTGAGTAAACACGGACAAGGGTGAAATATTTGAAAATCATTTATAATTGTTATTCTGAAAATAATTATCGTAGTTACAAATTAGAAAGTGGAGGACTTTGTGCTAAGGTCCTAATGGCTGTGCACACACATACAACTACTTAATTGACAGCTGTTAATGGCGACTGTTGTTTAATATTTGCATAGGTTGTAACCACGTATGGATGCTTGTTACAGATAGTGCATATACTGCATTAAATCAGTGCAGATAAATGTGCAGCTACTCGTTAAGCTTGATGACTGAAATGGGTGATAATAGTGAAAATGTGATTGACACCGTATGAATATACTGCTCACTAAAAACACATAAATGATTTTCAAATACTTCAATATGTGTATATGAATGGTCTCAAAAATAAATATAGATTGTTAATCAAATGTGATTGTAACAAAAATGAAGTTTGTGACACTCTTACAAACTTTACTCAAATTATAATTTCGAAAAGTCATATAAAAAGGAATGCAATGGGCTCAAGTAAAATACACGTCACCTTCTTTGCAACGAAATGTTCAAAGAAGTGTGTCAGGCAAGGTTGCTTCTGTGACCAGCTTCATTTACAAAAATGATTTACTCAAAATATTGAGTTTAGAATGCAAGATGAGTAAAACCGGAATACAAAACATGGTTTCGTGCAAAGAAATATTTGAAGAGAGGCGTGCAGCAAAGTTGCCTCTCCATCCTTCATTTTTGTGGCCAAGCACGGATAACATCGAGCATTGTGGAATAATGGGATGTGCAGCCTGGAATCTGTATTTACCGGTCCCAGTGACTTTCATATCAAGCATAGCAATGTATGACTTGTCTCCCTGTTTGGAATATAGCGCTGGAAAGAGAAGGGGGAATCCACTTGCTCATTTTACCAGAGTTCAGTCTAAACCCAACAGGTGTAACCGAGATGTGATTGTTAAAATGATTCTCACACAATCTAACTAATAACAATTGTCATGATGAGACTAGATGTTAATTCTAGAGTGAAAAACTGTATTATCCTCCAGCAAACGCTGTTAAATGAAGTAAAAAAATACTGGCCAATAAATTCCTTACAAGAAATAAAAGTTATATCTACAAACATGCTTGGAACATTCTTGAAAAATCTTAATAACTGAAACGCTGTTATGCAAGAGCTATTAAAACATAAACTTCTATCATATCTATTCTTCCAGGGGCCATAATTTGTTTATATGAAATAGCTTTTCATTATATTTATTTTAGACATTATGACAACAGCAGTTTGGTTATAATAATATGTTTGTTTTCAATATTGATTTGATCTTATGTTCAAGAGATGTTTGAACTTATAAAATCTGGTCTGTTATTATCAATGCCCTTCATGTTGAACACATGGTCTGTGAGTAAGCTTAGACAACCTGTATACAAAGTGTTGTTGTCAGTGGGTCGTTGTTCAATAAGGTAAACATCGTGGAACTGCAATGAACTTTATAGTTTCTGTTTCGTATACATAAATAAACATAAGCAACATTAACAAGATTAACCTTTTAGGAGACAAAATACAATTTTGACAGATTTACACAGGACGTGCTGGCATTGTTTAAAGTATGTGCTACTTTCCCACAGACAGATATTTAAGTCAAATGCAAGTCTGCATGTTGCCTTGAGCTATTATTTTCACAGCTGTCTAGAGGCAATATTTACGAATATTAGTTTTGCTGACTTGACATATTTTCAAGATGTAACATGTGAATCAATGCCATTTCAAATATTTCTTGATTGTTGTTATTTATATTCTTTCATTTTCAGAAACAACATAACTTCACAGCTTAAAATATAGACGAGAAATCTTTTAAAGTCTAAATCATCAGGTGCATGGCGACCATTGATAAAATACTCTGCTGGTTCTGCTGGATCTGTGAAGCTTGTTATTAATTGTAATTGGGTGTTTATTCTTGTTCAACAAGCTGGTAAAAGAATTCTTTGAAATAATTTTTATGATATTTAAGAAATTAATTGCTTGATGTAACACATGTGTTTCAAATATCGGGCGTATTGTGAGTTCTAAGTTGAGGCCCGGATCATGTGACCAGCGCTCTGTTTAACATATTGTCGGGAGCTGAAAACTCACTACCGTATTCGACGAAATAAGCGCCCAGGGCGCTCTCAAAATTAGAAATAGGGGGCCCATATTAGAATATCATTTTGTCAAGAAAAAAACAGAGTTGAAAGAAAGATTTCCTGGTTTATGCTGAAAGCCTGAAATGTTTATATACGAGACATATATTTTTCTAGAATTTAAATGCCCATAATTAAGGGTGCATATAACACAAGAGTGCATATTATACGCGAATAAATAAGTATTGTGTACATTGATCAATCAGAAAGGGTGCTAATTGGGATTGTTCACGAGCTAATATATTAGCAAATATCGCCGTTGGCGCTTATTAGAGCAGGGCGCTTATTACGTCAAATGCGGTAACTGCTTGGAATTTAGAGATTAAATCTAAAGAATTTGAAATCAGGACAGTTTCTGTATCTTTCCAACAAATTTACCTAAAATCTAGACGAGACGGTGACATAATTGAAATATTCTACACCCTCCACATTCTGGGCCAGACAAGACTTTAGCGTTGACTTCAGTTGGCTGAAGTTGGCTTTCTCTCGTTCTCAGCTGTGGACCTAGTAGGTCATCACACTCTAAACATAACCATCGGTTTGTCTGCTCCAGACCGAATCATACGTAGCATACCACTGTCATACCACTTGTCATAAGGCCACAGTGTTGTCACTGTAATTGCTGACAACACCTAAATGTGATTTTGCTGTAATATTGATGACAACAGGCCAATGTGATATTGCTGACTACAATTCAACTCACTCACTCACTCACTCACTCACTCACTCACTCCACATGATTAAAACCATGTACCCTTCTGTTCCAGCTTAGGTTTCACTTGTTTTGGCGGTGGTTGCTTGGCGACTCGATTGTCTGTCGTCACTGGCTTTGTCACTCTCTGTTTGTGAGGTATATTGTAGAGCTCGCGGTGTCGAGCACTGCTGCTAAATATGGGTCTGTTGTCATACCGGGGTTTCCCGCTGAGCGTCTGAAACCGACCCTCGCTTTCCCCTTGAATTGTCCCATAATTCCCCTGTCTTTGACGATGATCTTGGTAACCATAGTAACTCCCGTAGAACGGGTTTTGTCTGTTACGTACAGGATCAACTTGTAGGTCCGCTGAAATGTGTCCGCCATTTGCAATTTATCAGTAAATATGAATTATCGTAATGCGATACAAACACATATCAACTCATGCTAAAGATGTAAAAGTTCTAGAAAGTAGGTTTAAGATATGACACTTCAAGAAAGGCAGTTTCTTTGAACAATGACATGAGCCTCTTCAAATGAGAAACATCTTAATGAAACTTTCATAATGATGATGAAATATTACCATGAACCTGTAAAAAACGTTTCTGAAGGTGAGCTACGATAACGAAGTCAAAGGTACAAAAGCAGTACTTATTGTTTATAATGATGAAGAGTAGTAACATGTTGCTATTTAATCAGTTTATTGTAGTAATATTTGTGACTAACAACGCATCGTTGTCACTGTGTGAGTGAGGGAGGGGGGGTGAGTTAGCTGTGCAGGGGTAGAGTTCTGTGTGAAAGTGGTCAGTGACAGGGGTCAGAGAGAGATGGGGACAGCAAGGACACTTGTAGATCCAGGCTGATGCATGATGTGTGCAACCCCCACTTTCAGACACCTAACAGGTCAACCTGTGTCGGTCATGCTCTCATTGGTCTCTCCGAGACTTGGGTTGCGTGCATCAAATTGGGTGCTGTTGTACAAAACAACCTTAGGCCAGGCGCTTTATATTTTTCGGATTACGGATCCGCCAACTCTAATTTTTTAGAAAATGTAAAAAAATAAATCAGATTTCCATTTTGTTTCCCCCGCCGATAGCCACGTAGTCAGTTATTTTATTTGTTATGATCACCTTTTAATAAAAAACATGAATATACCGTTGTAAACTAGTAAAGAGATACATAATCGATATTTGTTGATCTCGAAGCCGAACATGAATAGCCTCCCTTGACAATTGTCCGTGTGGTAAGTGGTAGAATATTTATTGTTACAAGGGGCTTTATCGTCGCAAATGGCGGTATTATGAGCACAGAATATGTTCATAAAGTATGCCAGAGGCATTCTGCATTAAAAAAAATGCATCTGGCTTCTTTTTTTTCCCTCCTCCAACCCTGGACTTTGGGCTGAAAAATCTGTAATCCTAAAAATAAAAAAAGTCTGGCCTTAGAGCTAAGGCTGTCTTAAGGCTATGTTGAGGTATGGGTATTACGATCACCTTAGCACTAAGATCACTTTGTACAACGGCACCCTGAAACCTGTAGTACCAATTCTGTCTCAAGTGATGTTGGTAATGATTTGTCATATGTAATGATTGCACATTGTTTTGAAACACTTTTTGGTTTGCTATTAATAATTTAGGTGAGCAGTGGTCGATGACACTTGAATTTGGATTTATAGTAGAAAGACATTGGTGCTTCAGGGATCTGGGTCTGTTGATGTACAGAGGCCGTCGGCCATGGATCAAGAAATCAATGACAGGGATGATGTATGTCAGGGGAGGCAACCCCGGCCTCATCCGCCAAGCGGGATCTAGATTATGCTTTGCATTTCAGACTTTGTGTTCATGAGACACATCACAATTTCATGATGGGGATATCTCGTGTTCATGAATCATGTCTGTGCTCATGAGACACATCTCAATTTCATGATGGGGATTTCTCGTGTTCATGAGACACATCTCAATTTCATGATGAGGATATCTCGTGTTCATGAGACATGTCTTCAGTTCATGAAACCCATCCCAATTTCATGATGAGGATATCTCGTGTTCATGAGACATGTCTTGAGTTCATGAAACCCATCTCAATTTCATGATGAGGATATCTCGTGTTCATGAGACATGTCTTGAGTTCATGAAACCAAGTTCATGTTCATGATGGGATATCTTATGGTCATGAGACATGTCTTGAGTTCATGAAACACATCTCAATTTCATGATTGGGATATCTTGTGTTCATGAGACATGTCTTCAGTTCATGAGACACATCTCATGTTCATGATGAGGATATCTCGTGTTCATGAGACACTGCCTGGAACATCAGAGTACCAGTGATCATAAGGGTGTCCAGAGGTGGTCAAGCAGGTATAAGGACAGGCATGTCTTGTGTTCATGAAACCTAGAGACATCTATTGCAAACTTAATAAATCAAAATACAAGTAAAACAGAAAACTATTCCACTACGAATGACTACCCTGTAGGCTGGCAGTCGGGGTACTGATGCCGCCACAGACAAGAACCGCGATATTAATGAAGAAAATAAACCAAAAAAAGGTGACTAATCTGAATTGTTCCTGTAACTGTCAAAAGAGTGATGTGAGGGGGATTAAAGAGGAACGGTTTTAAAAGACAGCGTAAAAAGTAAAAAATTCTCTGCAAAAAGAAAGTGAACAATTCTAACAACATTCAAAGGGAGCATGTCTTACCCAGGGGCTTCCGGGTGATTTTCTCACCTGTAGGAGGAGAACCAAGCTATATGAAGTAATACTACATGTGGAACGCATCTGTTCCTCCACAGAGGGGATAACATCATCCCAGCCGGGATGCTACAGGTTATATAATAACATCAGCGGATATGGAGCATCTCAGTAGTTTGTAATACATTCAAAAACTCCAGAATCAGCAATTCCTGCAGCCCTACATCCATATGGCACATATATAGCACAATGATGAAGAATAAAATATTTGTTACAAATCAATATCTGGAGCGCGTGAGAGAGTGAGTTTTGTTTTATGGCTGGATCGTCAGTTTGGACCCAGGCAAACTGGTGGTCGATAGCTTGAGCAATGATCCATAATGTCGGGGTACGATGACATACAAGAAGCCATGTCTCACAATGTTACCATCCCATCATTTTAGTCGTCTCTTATGACAAGCATAAGGTTCTGTGGATCTTTTTTCCAAGGAGTTCCCACAGGGATTCCAGCAAGGAGTACATGTCATTTAGAAATATTATTGAAAAAATGGGCAGCTTCTGTTTCACTCACTCACTCACTCACTCACTCACTCACTTACTCAAAGATAATTTTTATCATTCTAACCAAACACACACTCAAATTCCTATGAAAGTTTGTAACAAAGTTAGGTAATACTTTTCTGCAAAAGTTCTGTATTGTGTTGCTGCATGTTGACTAAAGTCTCATAACGAGACGGTAACGCACTGCAAAATTTCCCTGCGGAGGAATTAACTCCCCTGACAGAAACAAAACGAGCCCCTCCTTTAAGTGTCAACTACCTTTGAAAGTGAAGCAGATCAATGGCAGTTAAAGGCACCTTTCACAATGGAGGTAATCCATCAATACGGATCGATCAGCACAATTAATCCTTTCATAAACCCCAGAGAAAAAAGCACAATGAAGCGCCGCTTGGTACAGTATTGATCTCCCGATATTACGTGCGCTAATCCTGTCATCAATAAAACCAATAAGCCGGTGGGACTGATCAGTCAAAAAGACGATAAATCTCCGATAAAGCCACAGACGTAAAAAGCTAATGTGTAACTGTTGCTGGCCAGAGAATCAATGGTGTACAAGCAAACAGGGATCATAACATCGAAATCAGATCAATCATAGAGTAATGCAATACAATTTCATTGTCCAACGATCAAATAATGACCAATAGTGATTTCCATCAATGTCAGCTAAACGTAGAGCTGTTCAACTGAAGCCGAACCCAACAACCACTTGTCATTATTTGCATAGAAACTTTAGCTAACCGCTAGCTACACGGACAATAAATATGTTTGCGGTATATTGATGAAAGTCAGTGTGGGAAAGCGCTATCGGTGTGTTGATGTCTTGTTTCACACAATGCAAGCAGTGCAGGAGGGGGGGCAATTATTGCATATTATACCATCATTATTATTAAGTGGAGGAAATAACTTGTCATAATTCCTGGAAACATACGCTTAATGGCGGCACCGAATGTTCCCATGTCTAGGAGAGTTATCAGCATATTGATCAGATACGGGCAAATTCCAGTGGGTGCCTCAATCAGCGAACTGCCGATTCTGATCTGCAAATTTATGAATACCAGCACGTTAAAGATTTCAGCATATTGTCCACTGCTCCAAAACGACTGTGAATGACTTTCATAGATTAACTAAAGAGGTATTCAAATTTTGCGTAAATCAGGCGAGAGTCTTTCATTGTCAGAACACCATTATGGAGATAGAGTCTTTCTTAGTCCAGCTATCTTCATACAGATAGAGTCTTTCATTGTCAGAACCCCGTTATGGAGATAGAGTTTTTCTTAGTTCAGCCATCTTCGTAGAGATAGAGTCTTTCATTGTCAGAACACCGTTATGGTGATAGAGTCTTTCTTGGTCCAGCTATCTTCGTAGAGATAGAGTCTTTCATTGTCAGAACACCGTTATGGAGATAGAGTTTATCTTAGTTCAGCCATCTTCGTAGAGATAGTCTTTCATTGTCAGAACCCTGTTATGGAGATAGAGTTTATCTTAGTTCAGCCATCTTCGTAGAGATAGTCTTTCATAGTCAGGACATCATTGTCAGGACGTCGTCATCGAGAATGAGTCTTTCACTGTTCTGATCAGGACAACATTGCCAGGACATCTTCATAGGGATAAGTCTTTCATTGTCAGGACATCTTCATAGGGATAAGTCTTTCATGGTCAGGACTTCATCATAGAGATAAGTGTTTCATTGTCAGGACATCGTCATAGGGATAAGTCTTTTATGGTCAAGACATCGTCATAGCCATAAGTCTTTCATAGTCAGGACATCGTCATAGGAATAAGTCTTTCTTTGTCAGGACATCTTCATAGAGATAAGTGTTTCAATGCCAGGGCATCGTCATGGGGATAAGTCTTTCATGGTCAGGACATCATCATAGGGATAAGTCTTTCATTGTCAGGACATCATCATAGGGATAAGTCTTTCATGGTCAGGACATCATCACAGGGATAAGTCTTTCATTGTCCGGACGTTGTCATAGGGATAAGTGTTTCATGGTCAGGACATCATCACAGGGATAAGTCTTTCATTGTCCGGACGTTGTCATAGGGATAAGTGTTTCATTGTCAGGACATCGTCATAGGGATAAGTCTTTCATGGTCAGGACATTATCATAGGGATAAGTCTTTCATTGTCAGGACATCATCATAGGGATAAGTCTTTCATTGTCAGGATATCGTCATAGGGATAAGTCTTTTATGGTCAAGACATCGTCATAGCCATAAGTCTTTCATTGTCAGGACATCGTCATAGGGATAAGTGTTTCAATGCCAGGGTATCGTCATGGGGATAAGTCTTTCATGGTCAGGACATAGTCATAGGAATAAGTCTTTCATGGTCAGGACATTGTTGGCACATGGTCATTAAGAGAGAGATTGCTGGAGCTTACCTCAGATTAATCCTGGATATAACATAATAAACATATAAACATAACTTTGATACTGCATGCTTTTCTACATGTCCCCTTGTTTGGGAATAATTCTTGTGTAGTACACATTACTAAAACAAACACAAGAAGCACAACTGTTATAGCAATGTAGTAGAAAATGAAAGGTAAACTTGTGTTTTTCATGATAAAATAATGAAATTACTGCAGTGGGGTGAGTGAACATATCTTGCTTGATAAGAGACTAAACTAAAAAATCCTGATGTTCTACTCGAGGCAATATTTGTGAGCATCCCTGGCGTAGTGTCAGCCATTAATTGGGGTGTCAAGGAATGCCGGCTCTCCTACACACTGGCGGCAGTAGTGCCTCACAAGTGCAACTCAGGATTAACTCCCAGTTTGCACAAGACACAGACATTTAGTCTCAGGTTGTGGCATCATGGCCACACTTGAATGCGAAGTGAACATTGATATTTTCTAATGTCGTGACGCAACATATTAATTCTAAAATGGTTTTAATGTTGATTTTGATAATTAAAAAACTGTTTAATTAATTAAAATATTGCCCTCTTGTATTTTGACATCAAACATTCAACACTCTTGGATCGAAGTAGCTATGTTCTTGTGAAGAATCGGATTTGAGAACAACAGACTCCGGTGATATCCTCTACATATTCACGATATGTGACGGACAAGGAGGAAAGGGACCTAATGCATGCTGGGATACAGTTGTGCTGTGACGTCATAAAGAAAGATGTTTGACGCCTACTTATTAATATATAACTTATGTAATAATTGCCATGTATGTGAACTGTACAAAAATATCCTACTTCTCTCTCATTAGTTCGTAATGTAATAAAACCATTTCAAAACATTTCAGCTTACATGTCTACGTCAATTAAGCAGATATCCACATGTCTGGTGATTTTTATCTCAAATTTCGAATTTGTACTGACCAAGTTTCTCATCACCCGTTCATTTGCCGGACTTCGCTAAAGGGGTACGGTTTTATTTTTTTCTGCGATTGGTATTCAATTTTTTTTTCTCTTCAAAATATTGAATCCGCAAGAGGGGGGTGCGCATTAAACATGGGTGCGCACTATACTCAAGAAAATACGGTATATTTAAAACTGCAACAACTACATAAAGAGTTAAACATCTGAAAATGGGACTTTGCAGAAAACGAGACAAATGTTTGATGCCAAGCATCTCAGTAATATGAATTGAAGCTTACGAATTGTATTTTAATGGTCCTAAGATACTGTAGTTTCAAAATACATCAAGAAATCAAAATGTGATGTTTCAGCTCTAAGGTCCCTTATCTCATGCTTGGTTACATACAGAGTGTCAGTGTGTCATCAGGTCGTCCAACAGACTCAGGAGATCTTCAGGGCATCTGGGCAGCCTCTTCAGGTCCTTCAGGTCACAATAAATATATTATAAGCTTTTCATCTCCAAAGCCATAGTGCCCCGAACACACCACCTCACATATTATTGTCCCGTAAATTTTATTGAAGATTTATTTTTTAAACTTTGCTCATAGTTTGGTGCACTGTTTCATTCATGTTTAAAGTGGAAAAACTTATGAAAAGCACACTGTCAAAGTGGTAGAAAGATATAATTCTCCCTGATATGCAAATGCATCCTTCTTTAAAGAAAGAGCTTACTTTATTTTGAGTCCTTCAGACAACCTTGACCTCCAAAGACAGACTTTCAGGAATGGGAGTCATACAGACCCATATTTCTTTCAAACAGTATTCAAATCTGAGACATTTCGACCCAAATTTTTCCTAATTTAGCAATTACTTTCAGTGTAAATATGATATACGTCTTCTGACAGGTAGTAGATTGAATTTCGCCTCAATCGTAGGGGTTTTATGGCAGTGTTTTTTTTAGAAAATGTATTGTAATTAGGGAACGATTACGTGATAGGAAGATGTGTGGCTCCAGGACTAGTGCAGCAATTATAGAGAGTGATGTCCTTCTGGTGATATACTGTTCACACAGTGTAAGGCATAACAGTGCACAGAGTTGTGTCCCTTAGTGATGCCAAGATCTGCTGATTGTGGTTTTGAATCCCAGATTGTTGAG